ACGCACTTCTCCCTATTGGGTACGCCAGTGGTGCGCATTCCCTTGGTTTGCAACTTAGGATTCAACCCAGGAGCGCAAAAGGCTTATGCTTACTAGCCAGCAAGCCAAGTCAATGTGCCGTGGGGAACAGCACTTGGGGAACCCAAGTTGTAAGCTAACTGGGATCATGCCTGCGTTGGTGTGTCTCTATGAAACTGAGAATCAACTATTTATTTATTTATTTATTTATTTATTTATTTATTTATTTAATATTACATAGCAACGTAGATTACCACCATTGAGAATGAGGGTGGCCAGCCACTAGATCAAGGCCTCCTCTCAATAACAGCCATAATCATAAAGGTTGAAACAGTGAGAGGCTGAACTATATACTACTTATAAGGTGAATTTCAGTTGAAGGCAATAAACGGCGTGGCAGCGGTACACAGGTCGCGCTGTACCCTAGTCAACTTGAAACTTAAGTAGCCCAGCTGCCGTCCCCAATGCTCAGTGACATAACCTGCTGGTTAGTTGGCGTCAGCTAGTAGCTGTCATAGGTTCGTACTAGTGACCGATGACATGCGCACGACTGACGAGTCCCAATGGTGCGAACTGTCTATCCTACTCTACCGCATCTTGGTTGGACTATGTGGCCTATTATCTGCTGACACGAATACCTTAAAAAGTACAACAAATGTTTGCCTGCTAAAACAACCTATAAACTGCAGCCTCACTTGATTTTAAATACCATGGATAGTGCGTCTAATGAAACGAAGTTATGGCCCAAGGCTAGCCACTGTTATTAGCAAAGTTAGTCACCCGTGTTACTGTAGAATATGATGCATGCGATATCCTACCTAGCTTTCAAGATTTGTAGCTTAGTTACTAGCTCCAGTGGCAGAGTGCCTTAGGTTGGTAACCGCCTCCAGCGTTCATGGGTCGGATCCTCAGTAGAGGACCAGGGGAGTGACACCACTGCCGAGGTCCAATATGCCGAATGGGGTCTGCTTCTTTCCTGGTTTGTATTTGTGGTATGTAGCTGGTTAGCTTATATCGCGGATAAGTTAGAAATTAGAACTAAATTCCTCTCACTCATTTAATCTGTATTGCCGCCTCTTTTAATTTCCAATGCTGTGGCTAGGCTTCCTTTGGATAGGAACAGTAGTATAATGTGGCAGTAACGTATTACTGGCAAAGGATGCTGCTGCTTAGACACCTCGGAGGTTGGTTAACATAAGAACCGCCGTATGGCGGATGGAAAACTAGGTAAAATATGGATCGCTTCAACTGACTTACCTCATTGTTTGCACATGTGCTTGTGGAATGCCCCAACCTCGGCTTCTGCTACGTAGTTTAACCGGCTCTTACACTCACTGTCCCATGCTTCCACCTCGCTTGCTTTTGACACCGTAGAATTTTACCTTTGAGTGGATCACCTGGGCTGCTACAATGCCCATGCATCAATTTGTTCTAAAAGTACTGGTTCACAAATGGATTCCCGACTGGTTATTTACACTTCAAACGCTGCACATATTTGCACTGTCTGCCGCTCTTACCACACCTTCTTCCCAACCGCTTTAGCAACTACCTAGTTGACTATTTACCCGCACCATGCTCTGGATCTTCATACACATCCCAGTAACTTACACATTGGGCTACGCTTTTTGTTGCATAATCAAGAAGCATTTTCATTGTAATATCTTTTGTATATTCTACGTCATTTTGCTTCAAGGCTAAATGTTTTAAGTTAGGATTTTTACACTGCTTGGTGGCAACGCTCTCTTCTTCGTTCTTCTCTTGACTTGTTCCTCTTTTTTCCTTTCTTATGAGACCATGCACCTTATTATACTCCGAAATTGGACTAGGGAAATGCCTCCGTCTGAGATGGGACGAAGGAACCAACAAGGACTCACTTGTAACATGGCTTTATAACAAAACCAACCAAGTGCGTCTAACACAACGACTACTGTCCAGTGAGGATAGCTAAACACCAATTCCAAACACTACAGCAAGTAAACGTACGCAATCGATTAAAAGAGGCAAGGTTAAGAGCAACTACCACAGCCGCTAAGTTGGTGGTTTCAAGGCAGAGTACCAAATTGCCTCATTTTCCTAATATACATAAATGTCTTATGTGACGTGTCATAACACGGTCGCCCCTTTCGTCTGTCAGCTGATGTACAAATAATCTTTATCTCACAACCAAAGCATCTCTAGCTTAAACTTGACAAAATCCGCGAGGACAGCATATTTGGAGTTTCGGTGTCATAATTGGCACATGGTATTCTCAGCGAAAACGCTAGCGCCATTATTTATAAATGGCCTGGCCCGCCCTAAATATTAACTGTTGCCAATACCGTCTCAAAAACGCGCACCTGGCTAAAGAACCTAGGGTTTTGTTGTTCCAGTAGCTTAAAGTTTAGTGGCTAGCCGAACAACCTCCTCGTGGTGCCAGCTGGGTGGTTCGCGTTTGACCCGTTCCAGCAAATAGTTCGGCGGCAGTGTTCCAGGACGTGGTGGGCTTTCGCCTGGCAAGCGTTCTCCCTATAAAAAGCTACAAATGTCTGCTTAACAACACTGTGACGTGGCGGTCGTGACTCGCCACAAAATAAAGTCACTGCCCCGTGGGTATCCGAATAATCCTTTCCAATGCACAGACATCCATCTTCTACTCGAACATTGCCGACGATATGAGAGTGAAAATTAGAGCAGCACAGTTACAAACAGGAACCTCACAGTTACACACCCACACACACAGCTACCTAATTACATACCCCCTACATAAACATACACTGGTACGGCAAACATAACGTAATCTTGCACATTCTTGACCGCGCATTGTTGTCATAATGATCATGCCTGTAAAGGCGTGCCTCGCCTTGTCGAGAATAAAAGCTTTCTTTCTTTCTTTATTTATTAGTGTAGCTAAAGCTCAACAGGTAGCATAACACATAAGCCGGCACATATTAACTATTGAAGCAAGCTTAGAACGCTACGTAATACGCATCCGTACGTAAATAAGATATTGCATATTTATAAACAGCAGATTAAATAAATTAGACCAGATGCCACTGGAAAACCTAAGTGGCACTTCACCAACACACTTCTTAAGGAAAATTAGTGTGACTTACGAAGTGAGATGCATTCATCCCAACCTCCAACCCTTTGTTTGCGTCGCAGAAAGCTTTACCTTCGCTTTTTGCACAAATTGGTTTACGAAAGGATACAGTGCGCTTTCAAGCCTACAGCTACCACTGGGTCAAAATCCAAGTTACGTAATAAGAATTGCGCTATTATGCCATTGAAAGCCAGAAAAAAATGTAAACAGTTTATTTGATTTTTCACATAAACTTAGAATAAAGTACCTGCAAGTTTTATGGAGTGTACGCATCCAATACGCGTTAAGTAGGACGGAAAAGACGTCCTTAACATTAAAACTTGAAACGCAAGCTTTGCAGTCGTGACTCTAACAGAAATTTAATTGTATCCTGACCAGACGGCATCCAACTCAAGTTTGATCCTTCAGTTATCCAAACTGAAAGTGCCCACATGACGCTAGGGCTTTAATTTGTATATCCCGACATTACCAAAGGAACCAAACAAGGAACACATTTGCCTTTACCTGTAACGTCTCAATGCGCGTCACGTGGATTCTAGTCCGGGAGGCGAGACGGACCAACGGTCCCTATTTTGGTAGTCAATGATTTCATTTCCCGCTGTCAAGTCAACTTCTGTCCACCTCGAGCCTTGCGCCACCCTACACCTGGCAGACTAAACAAGGCCCCCTAGGTAAGCGGTGACCAGGCATACGTAGCACGTGCCCGAGCCAACGCAACTTATTTAGTGCTATCTGTTGTTCTAGGGACCTAGATGATTATCACTTCCTAGTACTCGTCTACGCATATCATCGTTGCGGACACGCTGGTGCCATCCGACACCAGCAATGCTTCGCAGACAACGATGACCAAAAACTTGAAAGCGCCTCAGATCTTCAGACCGAAGGGGCCAAGTCTCAATACCATATAGAAGAACGGTCCTCACTGTGGCCTTGTGTACACGACATTACAGACGAAGGGAAACTCCCTTCTGTCGCCAAAGATGTCGCAGATTCAAGAAGATAGCTCTGGATTTTGCAATGCGTGAGCTGACGTCAGTTTCTATGCGCCCATCCTTGCTGACGCAGCTTCCAAGATAAGTGAATTGATCAACCACCTCGAGTTCCTCGTTAGCAAGCGTCAAGGGGTCATCGAGTGGCTAGTGGTCCTGCAGCAACATCTTCACTTTGAAGGTGAGAAGTGCATACCAAAAAATGGGACCACACTGGACAGGTTATCCAGGGTTCATTGTGCCGCCCCAACATTGTCAAAAAGCAAGACAATATCGTCCGCATAATCTAGATCAACTAACCTTTCACCCGAAGCCCTTCAACGCCTACATCGTGAGGTTCCGCAAGGGAACATTCCATGATAGAATCCACGACGAAATTGAACAAAAAATGGGGGAATCGGAAAACCCTGACTAACGCCAATTGTGGTCGGAAAACTATTGGACGGTACACCGTAGACCCTGATGCGGCGTGTAGTTTTCGAGTATAGAGCACAAAAGATGCTCACATATTTCGTGGGAACAGCTCTTCTCGCACGTATTTCAAACAAAATCGATCGATCGACTAAATCGAACGCACTCATGAAATCGAGGAAGAGCTATTGTCGGTCTGCGATATGCTTTGCGCTGCTCTAACACCTGCAGCAAAGTGAATATATGGTATACACAGCCACGTACTGAGCGGAAACCGGCCTGCGCTTCCCTAATCCGAGATTCTTGTTCTACAGTGAGGCGAAGAACGATAACTGAGGCCAGTAACTATGTCACAACTGGCGTTAGACTAATACCCCTGTGGTTAGAACAGTCTATGCGACGGCACTTCTTGTATATTGACACTATAATCGATTCTCTCCAACTAGCCGGGACACTCTCTTCCTTCCAAATACATTAAAATAAGGAGGTCAGTGCCTTGCGTCCTATGCACCTCCATCAATTAATATTGCAGGTGGGAGGGAATCCGGGCCAGCGGCACGAAAACGATTAAGAGCTGTGGTCGCGTTTCGGACCGCGGACTCAGACGGAGGCTCTAAACTAACCGTCCGTTGCTCGTCCTGCATCACCTGAGTAGGAAGAGGTCCGGGAGCAGGGGGCCAGCAGAACTGATGCTTTAAGCGTTCCGCCCAACGAGTCATACGGCGCTCCTTATTGTGTATCAGTGCACCCGCTCTGTCCCTGATTGTCTCACTGACGTCTGGTTTTCTGGGACCAGTGGTGCGGATTAGCTGGAAGAGTTTGCGGTAATTGCCTACTGCTCCTGCCTTCTCCATTTCTTGAGCCCTACTTGTCCACCAGACTTCCTTGTCAGCACGTAGGCTCTGCTTTAGTTCACGCCTGATAGCCCGTTTGGTCACATTGTGTTCAGAGCCAGCCGGGAGGTGTCTTCTAGATTCCAACAGGTTCACTGACCTCTCGGGTATCCAGTGACTGGTACGGTGACGATGGATAGTACCACGAGCAGATGATCCTGCGTCGTACATGACGGCCGAGATCCTATTTCACTGAAGCTCAGTGTCATTAGGACAAGACAGTGGAAGTTCGATAAGCAGCGCTTCCTGATAGGCTTGTTTTGGCAAGCGTTCTCCATATAAAATGCCACAAATGTCCGCTTAACAACACTGCAACGTGGCGGATGGGACTCGCCACAAAATAAAGTCACAGCTGAACATTTCACGCTGATGCAGTTCTCAACCTTTTACATCCAACCTGTGCAACTGGTTTTACTATGAAGAATGCTTTGGCGGACGATCGCTAACCCCGGAAATAAAGCTGCACTACAGCGGGGCCTGGACAGCGTGTATAATGGGTCACTACATAACCTGCTCCAGTTCCATTCGGGTAAGTGTAGGGTGTTTCGAATTCGCCACCAGTTTGATATAAATAAATAAAGGGTAGATTTCTCAGAAAGATTAAACAAGAAGGTTAAGACCTTTGATCATAAACACGCAGAAGTACGTGTACAAAGTTGTTAACCCAAACATATTTGTAATGCAGACCAGTCGGTTAGGTACAACAGTTGTTCCACACGTTGCTTGAGTGAGGTTAAGTTAATGTTTGCTGACAGTCAGGGTACGAATTTCGGGGTGATATTACATGAACGCAAGGTGTCATCAAACGCGAACATGTTTGGTGGGCCCAAGCAGAAATCGCGCGAACCATTTCTTCTTCTCTGTGAAACGTTTGATCGGGATTCGCTTAATTGTTCCGAGAATGGATCGGCCTATCCAACGGTAATATGCAGTTCTCTCCGTCCTTTGCTCTGTTCGAAACGTAGAACGCGGGAAATGCCAAGAAAAAATTTAAATACGACGACAGAACATTATTAGGGCGTAGCAGGTTCTCGAGTTACAGTACCATAGACAAAAGGCGAAATTTGGTTTGTTTGGTTATTTCGTTATCAACTGCACTTTTAGGTACAATTATGGAGCCAGTATAGTTTTCTGCCAAACTTTTAAAAGGGTTCACCGTTAAGAATTCCTTTTTGTCATAGGGAAATAAAAAGATTTCTTTCGAATCCTCAGTAGGTCGGATTTCATGCATAAACAACAGCCATCTCACATACTAATGGATAGTTATGCACTTCAGTCTGCTTATAGTATAAAACTTTAAAAGTTTTGCCACAACGATTTAGTTTATTATTTGCCTTAGTTATTATATATAGGTTAATTTGGCTTTTAGTCCAATGTTTGGATGCAGACCCTAGTTAAAAGTTTTGTGTGAAAAATAAATGTGTTCCTAGTTTGGTTCCTATGGTAATGTCGGGATATACAAACTAAAGCCCTAGCGTCATGTGGGCACTTTCAGTTTGGATAACTGAAGGATCAAACTTGAGTTGGATGCCGTCTGGTCAGGATACAATTAAATTTCTGTTAGAGTCACGACTGCAAAGCTTGCGTTTCAAGTTTTAATGTTAAGGACGTCTTTTCCGTCCTACTTAACGCGTATTGGATGCGTACACTCCATAAAACTTGCAGGTACTTTATTCTAAGTTTATGTGAAAAACCAAATAAACTGTTTACATTTTTTCCTGGCTTTCAATGGCATAATAGCGCAATTCTTATTACGTAACTTGGATTTTGACCCAGTGGTAGCTGTAGGCTTGAAAGCGCACTGTATCCTTTCGTAAACCAATTTATGCAAAAAGCGAAGGTAAAGCTTTCTGCGACGCAAACAAAGGGTTGGAGTTTGGGATGAATGCATCTCACTTCGTAAGTCACACTGATTTTCCTTAAGAAGTGTGTTGGTGAAGTGCCACTTAGGTTTTCCAGTGGCATCTGGTCTAATTTATTTAATCTGCTGCTTATAAATATGCAATATCTTATTTACGTACGGATGCGTATTACGTAGCGTTCTAAGCTTGCTTCAATAGTTAATATGTGCCGGCTTATGTGTTATGCTACCTGTTGAGCTTTAGCTACACTAATAAATAAAGAAAGAAAGAAAGCTTTTATTCTCGACAAGGCGAGGCACGCCTTTACAGGCATGATCATTATGACAACAATGCGCGGTCAAGAATGTGCAAGATTACGTTATGTTTGCCGTACCAGTGTATGTTTATGTAGGGGGTATGTAATTAGGTAGCTGTGTGTGTGGGTGTGTAACTGTGAGGTTCCTGTTTGTAACTGTGCTGCTCTAATTTTCACTCTCATATCGTCGGCAATGTTCGAGTAGAAGATGGATGTCTGTGCATTGGAAAGGATTATTCGGATACCCACGGGGCAGTGACTTTATTTTGTGGCGAGTCACGACCGCCACGTCACAGTGTTGTTAAGCAGACATTTGTAGCTTTTTATAGGGAGAACGCTTGCCAGGCGAAAGCCCACCACGTCCTGGAACACTGCCGCCGAACTATTTGCTGGAACGGGTCAAACGCGAACCACCCAGCTGGCACCACGAGTAGGTTGTTCGGCTAGCCACTAAACTTTAAGCTACTGGAACAACAAAACCCTAGGTTCTTTAGCCAAGTGCGCGTTTTTGAGACGGTATTGGCAACAGTTAATATTTAGGGCGGGCCAGGCCATTTATAAATAATGGCGCTAGCGTTTTCGCTGAGAATACCATGTGCCAATTATGACACCGAAACTTCAAATATGCTGTCCTCGCGCATTTTGTCAAGTTTAAGCTAGAGATGCTTTGGTTGTGAGATAAAGATTATTTGTACATCAGCTGACAGACGAAAGGGGCGACCGTGTTATGACACGTCACATAAGACATTTATGTATATTAGGAAAATGAGGCAATTTGGTACTCTGCCTTGAAACCACCAACTTAGCGGCTGTGGTAGTTGCTCTTAACCTTGCCTCTTTTAATCGATTGCGTACGTTTACTTGCTGTAGTGTTTGGAATTGGTGTTTAGCTATCCTCACTGGACAGTAGTCGTTGTGTTAGACGCACTTGGTTGGTTTTGTTATAAAGCCATGTTACAAGTGAGTCCTTGTTGGTTCCTTCGTCCCATCTCAGACGGAGGCAGTTCCACATTATACTACTGTTCCTATCCAAAAGAAACCTAACCACAGCATTGGAACTTAAAAGAGGCGGCAATACAAATTAAATGAGTGAGAGGAATTTAGTTCTAATTTCTAACTTATCCGCGATATAAGCTAACCAGCTACATACCACAAATACAAACCAGGAAAGAAGCAGACCCCATTCGGCACGTCACATGTCTACCAAGGGCGGTACTGAAGACGGCGGATTGCGGCGCATGTGTACTATGTCACCGAAAAGGAGGTCATCATTGAAATTTGATGGTACCTTTGGCTCGCATTTACTGAGGCCTGATATAGAGGGACCAGTCGGCGTGAGGAGGGCCGGGGGCAGCGATAACCTTGACGTTGTGGGCGGCGCATATGTACTTTGGCTATGAAATGGACGTCACCAATGAAATGCAACCTTACGTTTATACATGTATCACTGCTGAACGCTCAGGTGGGGCGAATACGTAGGAAATTAGACAGTGGCATGGTTCACTTTGACGGCGGCGCGTTATTTTCGCTGTTGAAGGGCTGTCATTAATGAAATGATAGGATACCTGTAACTAGCCTGCGCAGACGCTTCGTATTACGGAGGCTTACGTTTGAGGAGAGGCAGCGGCAGCGGTAAGTAGGTTGACGGCGGGTGGCGCGTAGCACTGTGACTCGGAAAGAGAAGTGACCACGGGAATCCAACGGTACCTGTGGCTATGAATCAATGATGCAGCAATTGCCGGTGGCAGTACTTGGTAGTAGGCGCAGTGGTTGAGTTAAGTACTAGGGCAAACGGAGGCGCATATCACGGGCTCTAAAAGAGAAGTGAGCATGGAAATCTAATAGTACCTGTGGCTAAGAATCAATGAGGCATCACTTGCCGGTGGCAATATGTTGGAAGAGGCGCAGTGCCGCTGAAACATGATAAGGTGCTTGCGGATAAGCAACGGAGGATGTAAGTTGTTCCTGACATTGGGAAACCAGTTGAAATAAAGGTGACGGACGTTTTGTACCATTCAGAAATGTTCACCACTAGTTGAGTGGGCGTGTATACAGCTCGGAACCCATCAAGTGTGAACACTGAGGAATGGTTTCGGTGGCCTCAAAAGCGGCCACCGTGACAGGTCAAGATAATTGTAAACCGGACATGGGAAAACCAACTTCTTAGGCAGTAAAACATAAATAAATAAATAAATAAATAGTATATTCTCGGTAAAACGAGACACGCCTGTAAAGGCGTGATCAAATATGCATACAAGCATAGCTTCTGTGGAATGTTAAAACATTTCGTTTTGATGAAAGTTATAAAAGAAAAGATGTTGTCCGTATGAGTGAGCATACTGTCAGGTAATAGTCAGACCCAGGGACATTATGGCGCTGTGGCGCGCAAAATTCCGTCAAAACGCAAGTTGGGGGTGATTTCGCCAGGTAGTGATCCGTGAGCACAGGAGCCTAAACAAGGCTTTTTGCAACCAATAACCATTACGAGATACAGATGATCTGTGCTCCAACAAAGCATTCTTCATAGCAGAATTAGTTGCACAGGTTCGATGTAGAAGGCTGAGGACTGCGTCAGGGTGAAATGCATAGCTGTGACTTTATTTTGTGGCGAGTCACATCCACCACGTTGCAGTGTTGTTAAGCGGATATTTGTCGCTTTTTATAGGGAGAACGCTTGCCAGGCGAAAACCCACCACGTCCTGGAACACTGCCGTAGCTTTCGTTGAACAGTAGTGCAAGTCGGTTATGCATCGTATAGACCGATTTTGCATTCTATTATTCGCAGTCGGTTGACAGCCAAAATTATTCGTTGGTTGGCCGAATGGCTTAGTACTGATACGGTAGCAGTCGTTGAAGCCGGTCAATGATGCAAGATTCGAAGCGTCGAATGATAATGATGCAGGTGAGTAAACACATTGTTAATAGAGGCCGGCTCTTCTATTATATTCATGCTCGGCTTGCAAACCATGTCCAGCTATCCTCGCTGGACTTGTCATGGGGTCGGTGAGTGAAGT